TAGCGGACTGGTGTAGCCCTTCGCTGGAGAACCGCTTCAAAGCCCAAACTGTTCCGGACAACAGCTGAAACCTAGAATATGGCGAATATAGTTTGGACTAGCGGGAACTGTACTTTTTTTTTAAGTATGAAGAATGCTATGGATCATGGCGGGTATTAAAGAAGAGCACTTTCATTATAAACATATTAATCACCATTACTTTTAATTAAAAAGATGTATAATCTTTCATTACCTTTCAGGATAGTCTGTAGATCTTCATCCACTGAAAGAAACATTTATGATGACTGTATCTAGTTGAAATCACGGCATTAAGCATTTTTAAGCTGGCCCTTAATCATTCTGGGTTAGATTACACCACGTACGTCTATTATTATGTCAGAGAAAGAAAGAGAGGTAGAAAGAGAGAGAGAGAGAGAGAAGAAGGAAGAAAGACAGAGAAGGGATGGGAGACAGAGACAGCTCGACAAACCATGCTCGAGATGTGACAGACAGACACGCCCCCCCCCCCCCCCACTCAGAGGTCGGAATGACCGCATGCGTGTTGCCAAAATGTCCGGTAAAGGGGTACTTTTCGTGCAATAAAGTCCGGCCCGAGAATTGTAAAAAAAAGGGGTGTATTTGACTTTTCACCCGGAGATTTCTTTAAAAAGGGGGTGTTTTTCTTTCTTTTTTTCTCTCATCTCTTTGGACTCCTGAGAAATTATTCCGAATTTAGGGGGGGGGGGGGTACATTGAGCATTTTTCCTGATTTAGGGGGGTCTCCAAGGCAGGAAAAGCCCGCGAAAAGCCCGCGAAGGGGGGGGGGGGGTTCGGAAATGTTGGCAGTCCTCAGATAGGGGTGCTTTCAAAAAGAGGGTACGAGCATATGCGTACCCTAAATAACACTGAGTGGGGGGGGGGGGAGACAGACACAGATTTCAGAGAAAGAAACAGATAATGATTGGATAGATAAGCAAAGAGCGATGAGACAGAAAGACGTCATAAGATAAAGATATAATTGAGGGATTGATTGACTGAATTTTATTCTACAAGCTTCCAACATACAACAATATACAATAATAACAAATCAAAAATAAGTCAGCTTGAACAGGATAACCCACGAAAGCTCGAGAGCTTATTTCCAGTGGGGTCCCTAAGAATTCTCTCTTCCCCTCTCGATCCCTAGGGAGAGGAGGAAGAGAGTGAGAGAAGAAGAGAGAGGGGGAGATCAAGTGAAAGAGACAGTGAGACAAAACAAGAGAGAGAGAGAGAGAGAGAGAGAGAGAGAGAGAGAGAGAAAGAGTTGGAGGAGAAGGAAAAAATGGAAAGAGTGATGATGCAGAGTAGCCTCACCATGGTGTACCCGGTACGTCCACCTGCTTCGGGTAGTAGCACCACGGGGCACCCTCTACGTCGGTAAAGCTCCATCGACACCCTCGAGCCTCGCACGTCTCCTCGGTGGCTCCGGGATCGGGGTAACAATCAATCCTCTGCAAGGCCTCTTGAACGGGCTCTTCAGGCCCTTCTGTAGGCTCAGGTACGCCCGCCAAGTCATTTGGCGCCCTTCTACTGAGACCGAGACCGAGACCAAGCCCCAACCCGATGCCGATGAAAAGGATGGCCGCCAGCAAGAAAAGGATGACCTTGTTCCCGAACTCCATCTTGGTTTGTGTCGTGTTGTGTTGTCCTCTACGCAGTGCAATGCAGAGGAAAGATATAAGCCCAGTGCTGCCGAAGTTGGAAAATACAATGTAGTAGGACTTTGCTCCAACCAATCCTATATTCCTTGACCTTTTAATTGGGCCAACGACACAGCATTGGTGAGAGGTAATAGGATTAGACGCATCCACCCCTGTAATAAAGCAATAAAGCAGATTTCTTGCTTGCTTTCTCTTTTCTCTCTCTCTCTCTCTCTCTCTCTATAATATATATTTATCTTTACCTCTATCTATATTTCTACCTTTCTCTTTCTCTCTCTCTCTCTCTCTCTCTCTCTATCTCTCTTTTAAATATATGTATCCCTATCTCTTTCTCTATCTATATTTCTATCTCTCTCATCCCTGTGTCGTAGGTCCAAAAGGCAAGTAGGTCCTACCCCTTCCCCCATCGAATGGTGCAAAAAGGAATAAGAGAGAAAAAATTAAAGGAATGGTGGAAAGGAAAGGAAACAAAAAGGAAGAAGATGAATAGCCCCAACCCCACGCCCTTCTTAAACAATGGCAGTCATCCAAATAGTAAGACTGGTGCCCCCCCCCTCCTCCCCCCCCCCCCCCCCCCCCCACCCCCCCCCCCCCCCCCCCCCCCCCCCCCCCCCCCCCCCCCCCCCCCCCCCCCACCCCCCCCCCCCCCCCCCACCCCCCCCCCCCCCCCCCCCCCCCCCCCCCCCCCCCCCCCCCCCCCCCCCCCCCCCCCCCCCCCCCCCCCCCCCCCCCCCCCCCCCCCCCCCACCCCCCCCCCCCCCCCCCCCCCCCCCCCCCCCCCCCCCCCCCCCCCCCCCCCCCCCCCCTCCACAACCTTTTCCCCTTTCTCTTCTCCGTAGTCTTTATTTCCCTTTATATATCTGCCTCTCTATCTCTCTCTCTCCCTCTCTTACCCCTCTCTCTCTCTCTCTCTCTCTCCCCCTCCCTCTCTCTCTCTCTCTCTCTCTCTTTCTCTCACACTCACTGTCTCTTTACGTGCCAATATTTATGTTCAAGTGTTATAAAATGGTCGTTTCTCCCTCCAATAATTCTTTTTTTAATGCGCAAATTTACCCTTTGTTCATCTAACAATAATGATCATCATCATGAATTTACAAAATACTGTTTTAATTCAGAGTACGCGTCCTGCATGGTCATGCCTCTGACTGGCAATGGTTATCTCTTTGGAATCATTTTACGAGTGTTCAACATCATAAAAACATAAAATCTAGTGAAATTCCAATCAATTTGTTTTGGTCCTTGTCCTACTTCATCAAAGGTCTTGATCGTTTGATATGTTTATGGTATAACAAAAACGTTATTCTCACAATACACAGTTTAAACGAGTTATGGGCAAAGTCACATGTTAAAGGGAAACTACTCACTAAGCGTATAGTTTTAGTGATCCAATTTGCAAAAACATTTATTAATCTTTGAAAATAAAATGCATCTAGCAAATGTCTCATCGTCATTCTTAAGCCGGATACATTTAGTCTGTCCACCAAAATGTATTAAAGTCTCCATGTACTATTGAACAACTCTTTATTTTTGTTTTAGCGTTTAATTAAGAGCGTCTAGAAGTTCGTCTCAGATCATGTACCAAAATTATGTGGTACATTCACTATTATTCAGTGTTCTATTTACACATATTATGTCCAAGGAAATGTCTGATTTAATAGTTTTTCCAGCCGGCTGTTGTAAGGCTGATAATAGTCTTTGAGTTTCTTCAGAACATTTTCCTGAATAGGCGGATGATTATTCTTTATGGATCTTTTGGAGCAACGTTTCGTTGGTACTCTCTGACAGAAAACTCCCCGATCATGGTCGAAATAAAAATAATACTTGGTGAAGAACTTGGAAATGCCAATGAAGTCTTCCACCTGTTGCAAAATGGACACAGGGTCCCTGCTGAATACACCTTCGTCAATGATGAGAAACTGCTTTCTTGGAAAGACATCAAACCATCGTCGAAGATGGCTCTCGTAGAGGGCGTTCTCAATTACTGCATTGTCCTCAAAGACATCCCCGTTTTGCTTGAGGACGGTCGCCTCGAAGGAAAGGCCGAGGAAAGGGTTGGCGGGATCACCTGGCTGTGGTGATATGTAGGTGAGGTATTCTAGACGTCTGCTGTGTTTCATGTACAGGTAAGACGACATGGCACGCTCAATGGGTCCCGAATCATGACGATGAACTTCATATCAGGAAACGCCTCATTGATCAAATGCGGTACCTCGTGGCTGAGGATGTAAGAAGGGGTGTACTCCATGGTGACCTGGTACTTGGAGGATATCGGCATGCGGTCGCGGTACCAATCTAGACTACGGTCGGGGAAGTGGTTCCAGTAATAGACGTCCTTTGGTTTGGTATGGACGATGTCTGGATGTATCCGAAGCAAGAACGAAAGAGCGGTTGTCCCGCACCTCTCCATCCCGATACCTATGACCTTGGGGATACGTCTTTTACAGTCTAGTCGGTGTTGAGTCACAGGGTTTTCCCTCCCGCATCTAGTGTTTAAACCGTTATGCGTTTCTATCGTCACCGCCTTTTCTGTTCGCAGTTCTATCGGCACAGTGGGTTCTACCACCGAATTGTCCACCACACGCACATATGCCTCAGTCGTAGTTACACCATTGGCGAGTCGTTCTTTCGCAGGAGTGGCTTCTGCGACCTTGACTGTTGTCGGATTGGAATCATCCATCACTTGCCTTGATCTTGTAGTCATGTTTGAGGTGTATTCCAGCCACTCTTTCACCAAAGTGGTATTCTTTTCAATGACCGCTGCCAATAGCAGTGCCTCGCTAACCATATCATCTGTTCTATTGGTTGCATTAGCATCACCACTTTCATCTTTCACAGCAGTTGTATCTTGATAATCTATCACTGACCGCCCTTCCCCTATGGAACTCACTGATCCCGTACTGTCATCTGTGACATCATCAAGACCTTCTTCTAGCCATTCGGTTTCCTCGACATCATCCATAAACATAGACTCGCTGTTCAACTCAGAAGAAGTCCCTTCGTTCTTATCACCCCCATCATCATCTATTGTGGTCATGAACAACGACGTTCTGGCTGCCTCCTGGATATGGATGTTGCTCCCACCATATCCACAAGAAAGTGTCGTCCTTCCAATCGCCAAGAAGACCGCAGCCACACTGCCATAGGCGCAGAGTACACCTAGAGCAAAGGCTTTGCTGCATACCAGTTTCCTGATACCCCGCATGTTGTTAAATGGTTGTGATCTGGATGAGTTTCAGACAGAAAATGAGACAAAAAAGAAAATAGTGGTAATAAAAAAATAATTAGATCCATATAAATGGGTACCTGGTAGGAATTTATTCTTTGAAATGCTAGAGCGCCGTATGGTAGCCGTGCTAAAGCCAGGGTAATAATCGGGAGCGCCAGGAGGGTCAAATCTGACTGACATGAGCGCTATACAAGAACCCACTATCATTTATTATTATTATTATAAACACAATAAATTTCTCATTTTCAAATGACATTTGCCAAAGCATGACTATACCGTAATATAGAAGTCTGTCTACCTGTCAATTATATACATGGGTATTATTCATAATCATTATCTATATTAATGGTTATATTAACAAAAATATATACAACACGATAGATGTGATTGCTGTTATTTGGTATACAGCCGACTGTAATTCAACGTCATGAAAGAATATATATATTATAACCAGTTTACATCAAAATATACAGATGGCACGGGATACATTATGTATCTCCATTTTGATCTGTTCCTCGAAACACAATGCAAATGTACATACAACGAGTTAAGTATAAAATATGTAAATGTAAATTCATGCATTTGTGCATAATCTATGTAAGAATTAAGATCCTCATTCCTTCAGAAGATCATGAATTAGATCAAAAGAGCATAATGGTTGTCCACTAGCAATTAATGTATGCGATTCGTATTCTGACTATAAGGGAGTTTACAGATATAATCTGCGCATGGGCAGATAAAGGTCATTTTGTACCCAAAGGTAAAAACCCACAGAGATGAATACTGGATATGCGCTCATGAAAGTTATGTAACATTATTCATTTATGCACCAACGGTACATTCTATTATAAGCAGGTGGAAGTATTCTTTTTAAGAGGGCAAACAAAAGGTATTCATGAAGCACATCTAGGACTTTGGCAGTTATTATTCTAATATGCTCAAAGTGAAACTTCTCCATGTGTAAAAGATCTGTTGATATTTGGGGTCATTTGTACCATCTGCTATCTTTAAACTCCCTTATTGAAATACAATAATTGCTCGTAACATTCAAGTTTTAACTTTCAAGTGTATTTGTCTCACGTTTCACAAAACAGAATTCACAAAAATGAAGAAATTAGAACATAATATGAAATGTACCCCGGCAAAGTATGACATTATATAATCAAGTCTTTGTAAAGACGTCGAAAATGATTGTATTAAATGGTAGGTTATACACGGATAAAATGTGAGGAAGCTATCAAAAACAAGTGAATTAACAAAGATTTGTGCATTAAATTGGCCTATTGGTGATGGACAACGCTATTGAAATCGCCGTAGGTTGATTTTCAAACATCTATCTACGCGATCGTCTTAATTTTCATTCCTATATATTGGTTTGTTGTCATGATAAGTTATGCAGCTCAAAACAAATAAAAATCTATTATAATGATCTTACCATTTAAATAGAGCCGGTACACAAATTGATGACGTGGAATAGGCCAACTCAAGACAATTGCTAACTTCATGCTCTCTTTTCACTGATCGTCAGTGCTGGTGGTATGTATACTTTCGATTTTTAAGTGTAAGGGGTGTTTGTGTACAGTTGTGTGGGTTCTTCAAAGCTCTTTCGAGACTGCTGAATACCAGTGAAAGGGGAATGTTTACCTAACTCATTCTTGCGTGGGTCGTATTATCTCTTCCCATTATTCTATCTTGCGAGTTTTTCCTTCGACGAGATCCGACTTCATGGACAAGAACAGCAAAGGGACCGATCCGCCATTATGCATGCTCTGCCTATAACAAGTAATACATGCAATTTGCATTCTGACTATACAGTTCGTAATTTGGATTTGTGCCTGGGCAGATATAGGTCATTCGTACCCTAAATGTAAAACCATTGAGACGAATACTCGGATCGTGCTCATGAAAGTTATGCAATCAGTATTCATTTATGCACCAACAGTACATTTATCTGATACACAGGTGGAAGTATTCTTCTCAAGAGGCAAACAAAAGGTATTCATGAAGCACCTCCATCACTTTGGCAATGGTTATTCTAAAATGCACAGGTGGGAAGTATCCATCGTGTCTAAGATCTGTGGATATTTTGGGGTCATGCGGTCCAGAGCACAATTTCTTTTCTTTACGAACTCGCTTACCGGTATTGAAAAACAATCATTCGTACCATGTGAATGAAATAATGCGTATCGAGGCTCTTAGGCATAGATTTGTTTACCTTATAAACACGGTCAATAGACCGGTTTACAAATATATTTAAATTTATTATATGATGTTTCTTTCCTCGGGACCTATATAGTGACGAGTTATTATATTAACCTGTTGGCACAGAATGAACTACAATACTCGGAATCCAGACTGTAGAGGTGTTGTGGTCGAGTGGATACGTCGCCGGACTGTCGATCACAAGGTTCGCGGCTCGAGTCCCGCCGCCCGCACTAATGTCCTTTGGCACCCACCCAGGTGAAGTAAATGGGTACCTGGTAGGAATTTATTCCTTTAAATGCTAGAGCGCCGTATGGCAGCCGTGCTAAAGCCAGGGTAATAATCGGGAGCGCCAGGAGGGTCAAATCTGACTAACATGAGCGCTATACAAGAATCCACTATTATTATTATTATATGTATATGTATTTGTATGACTTGTTGTTATGTCCGGAAATTGAGCACAATTTTTTTTTGGGGCCCTCGAAAAATTGAAAAATCGCACCCCCCCCCCCCCCCCCCCTTGAGCGCCAGGGGAGGGGGCCCATCTCCAGAAAAGGGTAAAATTAACGTGTTTTTACCTGTTTTTCTCCCAGGGGAGGGGACCCGGGCCCCGGGATCCGCCACTGCCTACCCCCCCCCCCCGGCCGGCCGGCCCCTTTGAGCCAAAACAGAAAGAAAAAAGTGTTACTTTTGTGGAGGGAGGTCAGGGGTGGGGTCCGTTTTTTTAATATAATTAAAGGTAAAATTAACGTATCCATCTTTTTTTTCTTTAAAATAAGTTTAAAAGGTCTATTGACACAGGGTTTGGTCTTACACAGTAAAATACTGAAGAGCTTCATGGCTTTCGTAATCTGCTAAAAATAACTACTAAAACATTGTCGATGTCGACACAGCTGAGGAAAACCAATGTCTATTTTTAGATCTTTTGACATTTTCAGTCAGGAGTTTCTCGTATACGGTGGGTGCACGGTGGGAATCCCTAACTCACACACAGCACAGTAAAGAAATCGGGGACAAGATCAACAGAAAGGAGCGTCAAATCGGGCTGAAAATTCAACATTATCGTCAACGAAATCGCTGGGAACTGCTCGACCGGGAGGTAAGCGCAACCTAACGGAAGAACAGGCCGGTAGTAATCGTAGGGCTGGAGCAAAATCTAGTCCACAGCTAGCAGGTACATGCAGCAGGTACATCAATAAAAAAAACTCAACACATGTCAGGCTTTCAGGCTTGAAGAATCAACAAAGAAGAAGCAAAGAAGAAGACACCCAATGTGAACAGAACTTCAAATACATTAATGGACCAGACGTTTATAGCATTAAAACTTCTTCAAGTCAAAGATCGCCAGGTCGAGGAAGAGGTTCCAGAGGCAGAGGTTCACCTAGAGGCGGCACGGCATGGCATACACCAACATATACACCCGCAGTAGCTTGTACTCGGCCAACCCGCCTCGTCAAGTTGGCCATAGACCTCCAGATGAAGAGGGAGAAGATACTCATCAAAAGCAGGGAGAACCTGGACCATCGCAGCAGCCACAGGGTGAAAGGTTAGGGATACATTCTGTTGTAACATGATTATACAGCTTAAAGGTAAAGACCAGTAATGGTCATGCGATTGCATTGTGAAAGAAACGTTGTGGAATCGATCAGAAAAGGTTGATCATCTAGCACCTAGCATCTGCAAGGTTCTGGAATCATCAAAATGATAAGAAATTTGGCCCATTCTTCGTAAAGTTACAAGCACTATACACAGAAAGATGTATATGGAACTACCCTATCTCTCTCACACGACCATGAGAGAAATAAATTTACCAAATATATGAATTAGTAGGCGGTTTCCCGGCAAATTTTTTATCATCGTGTATTAGTCAAAACATATTCTTTCACATGATTGGTAATGAGAGCTTCCATTTCATTTTTTGAAATTGGGGCGTTACCAATACTGGTCTTTACCTTTAAGTCAGGGGCGGATCTAGGGGGGGGTTCGGTGGTTTAACCCCCTCCCCCCCCCCCCCTTGGGCGGCCAAGTGAGAAAAAAGAGGGAAAAAAGAAAGGGAAAAGGGGGAAAAGGAAAACGGCGCGATTTTTGGAAAATCCTGGATCCGCCACTGGGTCAAACTCCCCCCACCCTTGGCAAAAAGCTAGATCCGCCCCTGCTTGTCATACTCGTAGGGCATTTCCTATCGGTTTCTCCCCAAGCTATTTCGGGCTTCGTACATAACTCGTTTAACATGATTTGCTTGGCTCTTGAAGAATATCAAAATACTTAGCCAGTAGCCTATTATGTCACTCATTTAGACAATAGTGATTTTGAGAAACCTGTTCTTCAGACTCGGAGGTTATTAAATAACAATCTGTCCTACCGTAAATTAATAAAAGGGAAGGATGACAAATATGCAAAAAGCCCATGCAGTTATCTTGGTTTTGTTCTTGTTTACATTTATGTTTGGTTTTCTATTTCTATGAGCTTTAAATCGTTTCTTACGTTTCCTCAGGAGAAACATTAGATTCGTTCATTTTCTTCGCCTAATGGAAAAGTCATAATTTCATTCTTATTATCAACAAATTGTATTTCATTCATAGCCCTGGAGCTTTAATAATTCAATTTCAACCAAATGCTATCACGGGCAAATTATTAACAGCTGTTAAATTGTTAGTCCGAATTATATCCAAATATTTTTTCAAGAGGAGTTGAGTAGAGATAAGAGAGGATTAGAAAGAGAGATAGAGCGGGGGAGAGTTTTTATTTTTGTCAACTTTTTTTTCTTCATATCACATTTTGTTTTTTGTAGAACTAACGCAGGATTTTTAAGAAGGCTAGATGCACGAATGACACCTCCACAAAGTAAGTTACTATATTATACAAATAATACACAGCAGTGAGGGCATTAGTACTTTTACTAATGCCCGAACAAGATGATGTGTATTATTTGTTTTCTAAGATGATGTTTTATTTGTTTTATAAGATGATGTTTTATTTGTGTTATAGAATAATGTTTAATAACATGATTTTACTAATGACCGGTCATGAATATTCACTAATGACCAGTCATTAGTAAATTACGTGTTTGGAAAAATAGATGCCTGGTCACTTGTACGCTCTCAACTAATTATTTGATTAGGGTCCGCTTTATCATCTTATATTGCCAGTTTTCTAATTTACATGTCAGTTTTCTTATTCCATTATTGTTATTATTATTGTTGTATTTTCTTTGTATCCTCGAATGTATTTATATATTGTTTATGTTGTTTATATGTATGTCACTATGCAGTGAAGGACGAATTTCTGTATTTTTTAAATCAGACAATAAATTATCTTGAATCTTGAATCTTGAATCTAAACTACAACAATAATGGTAATAATAATACTAGTTTTTTTGTATTTATATATATATATATATATATAGCGCTTTACCATTAAAGGCATTAATTGTTTAACAATGCCAAATCTGAGATGCATGGCCCTACGTTTATCAGCATCTGTGATATGGTGTAATATTGAAGCCCTTAAAAAATTGCGCTTCAAAATGATCATCAAGTGCCTTAAAAAAGTAAAAAATCTTTGAGTGACCGGTTTACCATACTCATTTTTCCTAATAGACTGTTGTGTTATAAAAAAGATCGTTGGGAAAATGGTGTTTGAAATTTCGAATTTCAATCATTTTCTACAACCTGCAAATCATACAATATAATTAAATAAAATAGCACTCTGTACTATCGAAACATAAAACAAACTCAAAATCGTCCTATATCCCCTATCCATTTTTTGTAGGAAATACATTCTTTCCTGTGCTTTTCCCCGTTGTAACATAACACTTGTTCTGTCCACGACAATTTGTCATGTGTGAATTAACCTACATGTATAGGTAGGTATATTTTTCTATGTACATGTACCTGTTATTACTTTACTTATAACTATTTATGAGAGTAGTGATTGGTTAGGCCTTGACTTAACCAACTATTTACATAAAACATGTCCTTATTGAATAAACTGGATTCGAACTTTATTTTGACCAGATATACTCGGTCTGTTGTTTGAAACTATTAACAGAAATTCTTATCCAGAAGTTTGCAGCGTATTTCATTATATGCAATGGTCAAATATATATGTAATGGTGCCTCTCCAACAGAACTAGAGCATATATTGATACATTTTTGTGTAAATTGATTTAGAATATGTCATATTCTGTGAGAAAAGTGTATATACAATGTATATACAATATCGGTAATTTCAACCCCGAAACTTGTGTTATCGACACAATACTCAATGCTATTTTCCCAGCTACAGTGTATATGTCTTCGGGCAAAGTAAAAACACAATATTGGCAGAACTGCTTACTTAATAACCTCCATATTTGCAAGCCCCAAACTTGACTATCAAATTTATTTTACAATATTAAGAAACACTATTCTATGGGTGTTACTTCATCAATCCAGAAATTATTGTTACTATTACAATTATTATCATTAACATCACCACTATCATTATTGCTTTAACTATCAATTTTTAGAGTGTATATAAGAAAAGAGCTTGAAACTACGTGTACTATCATTCTCAACTTAATTTGTCATGGAGCGGTCTTTTACGACTTAAGTTAGATTATTAATTTCCATTATTCAAATATCAATAAGATCATAAATAAAAGGATCAAGGAAATGTATACGCTAGTAGACAGTTTTGGCAGGTACACTCTAGTTTATTATTAGGTGATACGTACGTAGACGTATCACCTTTTGATTTCGTCAAGATTTTTATTATTATTTATTTATTTATTATTATTCTTCCTCGAATTTGTTCGCAGGATATCTCAAGACTGAACAAAGCCATTGTTATGAATCTTTCAATGATGATAGATCTTAGTCTAACTTAGAACTGCGTGACTTTTCAAAGACTCAAAGTCATCGTGACGTCATCCAGGCGCCATTTTGTGAAAATCAACTAATGATCATATCTTTATAACGAATAATAATTTTTCATTCATATTTATCATGATTAAGATCAATATCCGTCCGGTCAAGTTGAGGTCAATAAACGTGCGTAAATGCGCGCGTGCGCGCTCGTCCGCGCGTTTACGCGCGCGCAAAAGTTTAAAATGCTCTAAATCATCCCAATTTTTTTTTGCATACGTTTCAGGCCATATGGAGCATTTGATAAAAAAATTACGCACACGCGCATGCGCGCGCGTTTTTCGCGCGTACTGGCATTTTGCAACATAGAATCGCCGATTTTTTTCTGTCATCATATTCGGTACATTTTTCCAAGCATTTTGATAATTTGTTCACCGTTTATTAACGCAATGAGCGTCCGTCAAAGTTGACAGCACGCGCGGATTTGCGTTATCTTTATCCACAATACATGGGCAAAAACATGCCTATATAAAATCCATTGTAACTCTTTAGAATAGATAGAAACTCCTAATATTTTGTCATATTTTGATAGATTATGAGTCGGAGATATGATTTCATGTCTCATTTGATCCTCAATTAACTCATGACGTCATCATAATGGCCTCCAAACTCAAAATTTTAATTTGCATATTATGACGTCAGCATATTTTTGGAAAATTGATTGTATCTCTGTAAATATGGATCAATTTTCTTTTTAATTTTGATATGTTTTAGCTGAGACAATTTTCTACAAATGTAATGTTCACAATTTTTATTTTTGACAAAAGTATCATGGTGTATTTTTGCGATTAAAGGAGGCATGTCAATTTTTCGCATTTTGCGTGTATTCTCTATGGGACATGACTTTTTCTCAAAACTGGATTCTACACTCCTGTCTTTCGCGAGCAAAATCTACGTTGTTTTAGCTTCGTTTTCGCTGAGCTTCGGATATGTTGTAGCTGAGACAATGAGCTATCACAAGTGTGCCCTTTATTTTTCGATTAGATGCCGGGATCATGCTCATATTTCACTTGCAAAGTAGGATTTCTGAATTCCATTTCCTGTTTACGTGCAATCGCTATGGGAGATGTTTTGGTATATCGGTAACGCACTTGACTTCCAACCTCGAGATCCCTGGTTTGAGTCCGGGTGTCTCCAACACTTTTTTTTTCACTTTTTTTTCCTTTTGACCTTCACTGTACCATCTCCTTTGATTATTTAAACACGTAGATTCGCAAATAATGTCATAAATAACCCTTTTTACTTTATTATTACCCTATTTTCACTTAATCCATTACTTTTTGCGTGTAATCCCTATGGGAGATGACTTTTTCTCAAATCTGGAGGCTACATTCCTGTCTTTTGCGAGCAATATCGCCGTTATTTCGGCTTGGATTTTGTTGATTTTTGAGTATGTTGTAGCTGAGATTATATGCTATCTAAATCAACCCTCATTTTTTCAATAAGATGTCATGATCATGATCATGATCATCACGATCATCATTATCATAATGATGCTAATCATTTATCAATTACATTTTCATTTCTTTGAATAAGATAAAATCGTCAAAAGGTGTTCTTCATGATGTAAATTAGAGTCAAATGTGTAACTGGTTACTGCATAGGGTCAAAGGTCATATATTGTTTCAATCTATCTTCCCTAGATCCATGATGATTAAGGAGACACAATTTAATCTTGACATATGAATAGATCATAATGGGAGAAGCATATGAATGGGAGAAGCAAAATAATATATCGTGTAATGCATTATTTGTTATGTAAACCATTATCATACGTATCACCTAATTCGTCTAAGTGACGAATTAAAGTCTAGTTATTTCTGTCTTTCTTCTTAAATCTCAGAGTAAGATATTATGACGGAGAAACTCTTATTTAACATACTTCAATTACTTTTAAAAAAATCAAGTGTCTTTTCTTCCACAATTAATGATATTGATATTTACCAAGTTGAAAGAACACCGGTATGAATATGGTAAAGAATAACAAAATTATAGCCTTAATTAATTAATTATAATTATATCTCACGTTCTTTTCCCTTATCCTTCATCTTTCCCCTCGCTCTGACCTTTTTTCTTCTTCATACAATTGGGTAGCATGTGCACCCCCCCCCCCGCCCCCGCCCCCGCCATAGTTACGCCACTGTGCAATTATATTTTTGATATTTAAAAAAACGTTTAAATGAGAACAATTTTGAATGGTATATGCAGTTTGTCTTACAAGTTTGGTAGTAAAATTGTCTTGTGTTGGGATGAAATGTCATAACGTTCAAATTCCCTTTTAGTATGTGGCATCGTATTCTCATTTTAAGAGTGTTCTTTTCCTTTCTTTATTTCCATTTTTTTTTCATGAGGTGAAAGTATGTCTGAGGAGAAGCTAGGCTGGCGCTAGCCAAGCAGCAGCGAACCAAGAAATATGAACTTATCGTAAGAAAATTCAATTTACATTCCTTGGTCTAGGTTTATATTTGATGTTATCGCTGCAATTTTGAGTGTTAGTATACAAGATTGCATTTTAATAAGAGTAATAAACAATTATTCTCAAGAGTTTCTTCTATTACCTTAAATATACACGTCGCTCGTGCATCTGCTGAAGCCGAAAGTTTTACCAGGCTTCTATTACCCCTCCCTTCGTCAGTGAGATTTTGTTGGGATCAGTGTCTTTTCTTTTGCTTGTTGACAGGTTTAAAATAATGATAATAATATATTACATTTATCAAGCACTTATTACTATGTTCCAAAACAAAAAAGTAATGTTAACTTACAACAGTATTATACATGATCAGGCACGTACGCAGGGGGGGGGGGGGGGGGGGAGGGGGTCGACCCCCCCCCCTCAATTTTTTGTATGCGTGTGTTTTGGAGGAACCCCTCCACCCCCCCCCCCCCCACCACCACCAAAATAATCTGACAAAATCTTTGTCAACAGCTAGGTTCAGAGTGCAAAGATGATATTGATCGACAATGTGATTTTCAAATTTGTCAGACTTTAATCTGTTTTACATGCAGTAATTATTAACTTTTCAACCATAGTGGTTTTAGTAATGTTCTATTTTTCCCCAAACAGGAGAAGAGGGGAAAACAGCGGAGAGAAAAGAAGGAGAGAGAAGAGAGGAGGGCTGAAGAGGCCACTGTATTACCAAAAAAACTAGCCACCAATTTCTGACAAATAAATAAATGCCAAAGTCTACAAATTTAACCCTATAAACCCGGGGCCTGAGCCTAATTTTTATACAAAATATCTATAGCTGTGAATGCGCATTTGGTCATTTTCCTTGACCTCATAAATATATGATATATTTCGTCAAGACAAGTCAGCATCGTAGCTATATATAATTAAATCTTCCAACCATGTGGTTTTATTAATGTTCTTTTTTTTCCCCAAACAGCTGAAGAAAGAACAATGGAATAGAGAAAAGAGGGAAAGAGAAGATAAGGAGTTTCAAGAAAAGAAAGCTAAAGCTAGACAAACAGTAAGAATTATCAGTTGATTGGAGCTTAATTATTCTAGTTTGTTAATCTACCAAATCCTTGGGCAAAAATCATTTATTTGTAGTTTTTCACATTCAGTAAAAAATAGTTTTAAAGGTCATTTACAGTTTTGAGGATCGAGCTAAAAGAAAATTGGAAAGAAAGATGTTAAATATATGTGCTTATGTTGTTCTTCTTGTAATGCTTGTATAAAAAAAATATATATACATGTAACTATATGTAAAAGATCATTTAGCATTTTATCCATGATATCCGGTGAATTGTAGTGTAAATATATGCAAGGCATGCTAGATAACAGCTGCACTCCCTAAGCTAGGGCAGTGTGTTTGTAGAGTGTAAAGTATGTACACAAAGTCATAGGTTTTACAGCTGTTGTTAGAATTGACATCCCAGGGGGGTGTTTCACAAAGATTCTAAGTCAAACTTAACTCTAAGTTGGACTTAAATATTATGGAGAGCCATTTGTAGCCTTAAAATGAAATATATTCAAAAGCAACAATTGAAGTATTTTAGACTTTTCATAAACTCCACATCAAGAACATGAAATCTTTCATGATAATAGAAAAGATGAATGATTTGAATCAACATGTTATGCCTTTTAAAATAACTTTTACAAAATATTTTCAATGACGCTAATGGCTTTCCATAACTTTTAAGTCCAACTTAGAGATAAGTTCAACTTAGGATCTTTGTGAAACACCCCCAGGATGGGTATCTGCATTATTTTCTACCTCTCATTTCTTTGATAAATCACTTGAGGAGGAAAACAAAATATTTTAGAGCAGTTTAGTATTATCACTATCTTCCTATTTATCATCTGAAATCAAAGATATCTGACAACTTTTTTTTTTTTTTTTTTTTTGGGGGGGGGGGGCTTACCAAAACTTTACTTGACCTTTAAATTTCGAAGATTGACATTTTTTTTCCAGACTGAAGAAAACGAACGAAGAAGAAAGGAGAGAGAAGTTAAAGTCTTCAGAGATAATGCAGATGAACGTGCCAGGTGAGTTACTATCCCCCTCTTCTTCTATGAGGAAAACAAATAGATGCTTCAAGTTTTTGTTTTTTTAATACATTGTTTGACACCAAGCAAAGAAACTGTTGACCATTGGTTATTACATGCATGGTGTGATAAATATTTGTGCTTTGTGGAACCAGTGCCTCAATCCCAAAATCAAACCATATACAATATGAACAGAACTTCAAATAAAATGATAGTCCAGAGATAACAAATTCTTTTTGTAGGTTTTGGTCAAATTGACACGTTTTTTAACTATATCATTTAGGGACATGTATATTCTGGAGTTCAAATATTCTAGCCGGAGAAAAGAGAAATTGCTTTAAATTCTGTAATTTCAATGCTTCCAAACTGTACAGAGAAGCTAGATGAGTTATATAAATCTTTACTTTTCTACGCTTCCCTCTTATGATCTTTTTTTAGATTTTTGATAAATAATTTCATTGTTCTCCAATTTATTGGTATTGATACAATTAATAAGAAGCCGAAATCACAAATACTGAAGATGTCTTCTTCCGAAGCAGTTAGGGGAGCAGCTACAGGGTATTCAGTTCTATTTCGTTAGAATTCGAGGACATGTGTGTTTGTGAATTTTGTCTGTTTTTATTTTTGTCAACCTTTTTTTTTCTTCCACATTTCATTTTGTCTTTTGTAGAATTAATGAGGCATTTTTCAGAAGGCTAGAGGCCGGAATGACACTTACACAGAGTAAGTTACTACAATAATATCAAGTCAACGCAAAGCATAGCATCCCCTCGCCGGGTACAAATGGCCAATATTTAGCAATGTTTGCATATTTAATGAGCTATGACATTTGACCTACATACACCGAAATGAAACTTAGGCTGTATTTTGATAATATGTACCATCATATCAAATTCCGTTAAAATCCGTTAAACATTATTAAAGTTATCGAACGGAAATCACATTTTCGAATAATTAGCTTTTTTTTTCTGCATATTTAATGAGCTTTGACCTTTGACCTAAATACTCCGAAATCAAGCTAAGGCTGTATTTTAATACCATGTACCTTCGTATGAAATTGACTTAAAATCTGTCAAATATTACTAAAGTTATATCGAATGGAAACCACATCTTCATTGTTCAAAGTTTGCCATCAATTATGTTTCTTTTTTCTTCTCTCGACAGAATGATGATTAGGGGTGCCCCCCCCCCCTCCCATTTCAGCAGCGCTCTCGACCAGTGGCGAATCCACGTTTTCTCAGTGAGGGTGGTAATTAGGGCCCTGTTTCATAAAAACTTGTTATCAATAACAAGTTCCGATAACTGTTATAAGCTAATGGGTAGCTGATTTGCCATACAAATTTAGTAAAGAGAAATTTAATTGATAACAAGTTTAATGAAAAAGGATCCAGGTTTATGTGGGGAGCACATAGTAAGAAATAAAAACAAGATAGTCTCATGTTACCAGGCGCGTACACAGGGGGGGGGGTTTAGGGGGTTAAACCCCCTCCCTTTGGTATTTTTTTGTGTGTAAACCCCCCCTAAATTTCCCCAAAACCCCCCCCCCCCTTTTGGATTTTTTTTTTTTTTTTTTTTTTTTTTTTAATTAAGAGTCGTTGCGATTTTTTTTTGGACTACCAAAAAAAAAAAAAGTGTCCGCTTCCCCCCCCCCCCCCCCCCCCCCCACTGAGCGACTTTTCGGCCGGCGCGATTTTCAAATTTTCGGGAGCAAAATATTTTGGGCTAGATTTTAACCCCCCCCCCCCTTGAAAAAATCCTGCGTACGCCCCTGCATGTTACACTTATATACCATTCTGTGAGGTAGCGTAGCGATATAACGCAAAGTGCATTTTGTAATCTTGAGACAATTTTTATACAGTGTTATTAAGAATTGAATGAGAATTATATTATATACACATTTTACTACACTTTCTCACACAAAAAAAAGCATTGTTGGGTGCCAAAAATATGCGGGGCATCCCCTTGGCTAAGCCGCTACCGTAATATGTAACAATGAGGACATCGCGAAGTTCAAATCATATAGGAAACGCCAGGAAGCCATCTCCAAACGACGGAAGCTCGCCGGTGAGCGGAAGTCCATCCAGGAAGATTTGACAAAAGCAAATCAAGACCAGCTTGCACATGTAGGATCCTCTGAGAAAGAAAAAGCAGCAAGGTCAGGAGATGGTCGTATTCTATAGTGACTGACAAAAACAACAACAAAGATGATGTTCATGATTTAAGTAATTATAGACTAATCTCAGTTTTACAATTTTTTTCATTTTTTTTTATAGAACGAATTGTATATAATCGTTTGAATACATATGTATTGGATAATGCAATATCAAATTCCTGCCAAATGAATATGGATTTACCAAAAATGTATCAATTGAAATGGCTCTATAAATTGATTTTCATGATTATTTAGTACCTTCCCAAAGTAATAAATTGCCCACTATAGTTTTTTTCTTAGATTTAAGCAAAGCCTTTGATTCTATATTTTGTTAGATAAATTGAATGACCATGGAATGAGAGGAGTTGCTTACACATGGTTTAAAAATTATTTGGAAAATTGACACCAAATAGTTGTGTATAACAATGTTTTATCCCAAACAATGCAAGTCACGTGTGGAGTCCCCCAGGGCTCAATATTAGGTCCTCTTTTAGTTTCATTGCACATAACTGATTTAAATTAGTGTTCCAACATTTTGAATTTGTCCTTTTTCCTGATAACACCAATATCCTCAATTCTCATAAAGATATTAGTATTTTGTGTCAATCTTTAAACAATAAATTGCTGCTTGTCTCACATGGGTTTAATAGTAATAGATTGTCTTTGAATACATCTAAATCTAATTTCATATATTTTCATTATATGCAAATATTATTTCAGATGATTCGTTAAATGCATTAAATATTAAGATGAATAATGTTCCGATAAAACGAGTGCAATCAACCAACTTTTAAGGTGTAATTATTGACCAACATTTAACTTGGAATGCTCATATACTTGCCATTTCATCAGTATATTACGTCATTTCTTACCAATATTTGTTGTTGATTTTATTGTACAATACAATAGTTTTACCGTATTTAATGTATTGTAATGTTATATGGGGCAACACATATAGCCAACAAGATTGCAACGACTGCTTTCATTACAAAAGCGTATCGTAAGAATATGTCTTATGTCTGATTTCAATGCCCATTCAAAACCATTATTTCAACATCTACAGTTTTTAAATTTTGAATTAACTGATAATATTGTATATCACTCATGTTTTTTTTTAAACTGTTAATTGCCGATTAATCCTGCCACTATGATGAAATGAAATATGGAATTCTCTCCAGAGATATCTGTGATTCTACTTTCCTTAACTCTTTTAAATGAAAAATTAAAAAATACTTCATCTGTTTTTTTAAATCAATAATATATGCATGCTAACACGTCTACTATGTTTTGTACACTGTTTTGTTATTGTTATAATTTTATAGGCAATTGTTGGAACTTGTATGTATCTTTTAATATCAAATAGGGACTGCCTCGACAGAACCTTCCGGTTACATTTGCAGTTTCCGAATTCATTTTTAATGATTAACTTTGTATAATTCTGGTATATTTGTAGACATGTTTCCATTTTTTGTTTGTTCTCTGTTTTCTATATTGTATACAATCTGTATCGTATACTTTCATTAAATGTGTGTTTTATAGATGGAATTGAAATAAAACTTGAAACTTGCAAACTTACTCGTATGTGCCTACTCCCATCGTGTGACCATATGCTGTGTAGATTGTAATGGTCACCCGTGTCGTGCATCCATATATAAAGTCTTGGTAAATATTTTACGTTCCTCGATCGTGATTTCTGCAAAACAAAATGTCATATTAATATCAGTGTTTCACTTAAACTTGCGGCGTGGATGGGAGGAATTCATCAAAAATTGGGAGCACAGGTGGATCAAGAGGGAGTCATGGGGTCCCGATAACCCTCCTTTGTTTTCTCGCTCCCATCGCACCTCTCTCTCTCGCTCTCTCTCTCCAACTCGATCCTCCTCTCTTTCTCTCTCGCTTGTTGGAGATCTTTGGTGTACACCAATAACCAGTAGTATGTAATTTCCCCCAGCTAGCTCAGCACATGCTCACAAAAGAATTGCATTCTTTCAAACAATACCTCCACATTACCTTTCTTTTCCTGGTGATATGCTACAGCACGTCTGACATAAGCCATGTTCAGACGGGGCTTCCTAGTTAAGCCCTAGATATCCCATAAATATTTGACTTGCACCATTAGTTGTCCATACCCTCTTACTCGGACAAACTTGCCACGATTAAGTCAACACGACCTTCCACCGACCCTGTCTTACTCGACGTAACTTCCAGAAGTCAGGAGCAGATCAAGGATTTTCCAACAAGGGGGGGGGGGGGGGTGGCGGGGGGAAGTGCAAAGCTTGGCACATTCTGAGGCATTTATGAACGAGTAAACTGAACTTCGATGTTTGGGGGGGGGGGCACATACATGTAATCGATCGAGGTTAAAAAAGGGGGGGGTCTAAAAAAGTTCAACCGATCTTTGAAATTTAGGGGGGCATGTGCCCCCCCCCCCCCCCCCTCGTGGCTACGTGCCCGGGCCTGCGCCCGGCCTACTCCCCCTGGATCCACCCCTGGAAGTGGTGACGCCCACACTAGTCGACCTCTACCCACCTTCCGGATCTACACCGCGCGAAATCTCATTTTCATTTTTCGATTGTAAACAAACAACCCTCGTGAAAGGAGATACTCCGAGTGCCTAGTGAGAACATTCACACCCTACCCTCTAGTCGTGTTAGCGCGTTGCTCCTGGATAAATCCAGGAGTAAATCAGTCGGCGTAAAGGGGGGCATACCTAACACGACTAATTATATCGTTCAGACGATCACTACGTCGAACTTTACGCTGACCTTACCATATTTACCCCGACTAGCTCTAAGCACGACCAAAATTGCCACGGTGTGAACACGGCTATAGAAACTCCTATGTTGGATGGTCAGCTCTGGTGAAGCTACCTACTACTGTCTCTTGTTAGCTCATGATTGACAGATGATGTCACAAGATGAATGAGATCTGGAGCATTTTTTTGGGGGGGGGGTGAAACTTAGCATGTCCGAGAAAATTATTTTAAGAAATATTTAAAAATCTATGAAATATATTTAGATGTTTGAATAACAAAATATGATTTGTATGCAACCCTGCACATCAACAGGAATCAACTTATATTTGGATGTCACCCGACCTTTAAAGCTTATCAACACTAGTGTGGCTAGGAGGGATTAGACCACACAGCGAGGTCACTGACAGGTGGCTATCTCATCAACTCAGCTCTCAAATAACATAAGAAATAGAGGATCATGGGGGACCAACAGGCACCGATTAGGGAAGTTTTCTATATAGAGGGAGCAAGTAGCTACAAGTAGGACAGTGGGGCTTTAAGGCAATTTCAATTGAATTGTGCGTCACATAATGCAAGTGGAAATATTACAATGAAGTATTACGATATCCAAGCATGATTTCCGTGGGACATACAGAACTGCCCCTGAGCTGATTTCTCGAAAGTCTGTGCGATCGTGCTTTAAGTATACTGTCCCCAGGGCCCCGTGTTATAAAGAGTTGCGATTGATCTAAACCAATCGCAAGTTTGCGGTCTCCTATCTTTTATGTACATAAAATATATATATTTGGGATTTATATCTACTCTTTTTAAGACGGGGCCAGGCATACAAGTTGTATAAAGACTTTTTTTTATTTTTTTTAATCTTTGATTGGTTATGATCGAGGAGCTCGGATTAAATGGTGATTAAGTGATAATTTAAACATTGATGACTGGTACATTCTACTTTCAACCAGTCAGCAATCCTGAGGTCCATCGGAATGACTTGAATTGAAATTAAAAAATTCATGTATTAATCACAATTTTTACTTATTTTGATGTACATGCAATGATTAGAAAATGAATGAATGAATGACTGACTGCAGGGCGGCAGGGCGACTTCCAGAGTGGAGAGGGACACCAAAAAAAAGGTCAATTTCTTGAAAAAGGGCACCTACAAAGGGAAATCTCAAGGCGAAAATATACATTTTTTAAAGACATTGGAATTTCCCCCTATATTGTGGTTACATTATCAGGGATGATTTGTAATGTTTGCTTCTCTTTATACATGCGAGATTTTGCTTAATCATCATACTTTGCAGTTGGGTGTGATGGTCTGAATATTCATTTGCGAGCGAAAAGGAGAACGTGTCAAAATACAAAAAGGTAATTATGAGAGGTGAAAATTGGGCACTTCTTACACCTGAAAAGAGGCACTCACCAGAGATGAAAAGGGGCACTTATGAGAATGGGAAATGGGCATTTTCGACGGAAAAGGGGCACCCATCAGATTTTGATAGAAGCATTTATGAAAAGGGGATATTAGGCTATTATTATTATTATTATTTATTATTATTATTATTAGAAAGGAAAAGGGGCTCGTATCATTGGGACACTATTCATAGGTGAAAAGGTGTATTCATAAGAAGGGGAAGAGGCTCTTTTTATTACAAACAAATGGGGGCACTTTTCATAAGGAAAAGGGGCACATGTGAAAATTAAAGGTGCGCTTATCCGAGTTAAAAAGGGGGTAGTTATTAATCGGGGAATGGGCACTTCTTACAAAGGAAAAGGGGGCACTTGTCAAAGTACAAGGGGGAACGCTCAAATTCGAATAGGGCAATATTTGAGAGGCGTAAAGTTGGTTGGATATTCGACATTCGCATTCAAAATTTGTGGGATATATGATATTCGTGATTCAAATAGCCTGACGGCTTTAGCGGGTCAAGCAGCTAGCCCAACGGGTCAAGTACTGGATCCGGGCAACCCCAAAATGTAGTTACCTTGCCCTGGCCCATGGGGTTTAAAGGTACTGTCCCATTTGCAGGGCTAAAAAATGAAAAGATTAAATTCCAATAGCATTTGCAAGATAATATTTAAAACTTCTGTCAAAACGAAAGGGCTTGAAAATGTCTTTTTGTGGGAAAATAACGGCGATAAGTTGTCAAATCGACATAAGTGAATTTCATACCCTGGCTTGCACCGAATGGCCGTATGTTTTGTGCTGCGCAAAGACTCAATCAGTTTAATTTTGGCCATTTCAAGAAGTTGGTTATTGATGTAGACAATTGCTGCATGTATAGGCTTACCTGTCACAGCTCATTTATGTATGTTCTTACCAAAGAAAAAAAAGTCAGCCTGCAGTCACTCAATAGTGTCTGCCAGTGAAATTTATCAAATAAACGAGTTTCCTTGCGTAATTTGAATACTAGGACATTGCAAACGTTTACATTTCACAGATAGGACATGACATATTCATGATTCCTACAATGTTTTATAGAATTTGATGTTCAAAGGGACACAGTAGTCTATCTTTAAAGGTGTCCCAAACAAGATTATTCATCACGGCCGGCAATTAGTAATTCAAGAATTTCTGAAATATACTCCATGAATATACATGGCTATAGAAATAGCCTCACGGTTTTAGTGTGAAGGGGGCACTTGTCATAAGTGAAAAGGGGCACTTTTCGTACCTGGAAAGGGGCACTTACTATAGATTAAAAAGGGCACTTATAAGAATGGAAAATGGAAACTGGTCTTATTGCAAAGGAAAGTGGGAACTTGTCGAAGGAAAAGGAGTAAGTGTCAAAATAAAAGGGGCACTTATCGAGGTGAAAAGAAGAACAGGGGCACTTTGGGGTACTTGAATATGTGGGGGCACTGCGCCCAACCCCTCCCCTATCCCCGGGAGCGCCGCCTCTGACTGACTGATGACTGAATGAATGAAGGATTGGAAGAATTAACAAAAGTAATCCTAACATTTACAGTACCGTACAGGAATTACCTTAATTTTTTTTAACGAATGGAATTGAACCCCTAGTAAAACAGCTTGTAAAATACTCTGGTATGGAATGTACAGTAAATGAGCAAATAGTCGCGACCTGTCTCTTCTCTATCCTTTCTTAATTAAAATAGAAACCGGAAATAGAACTAGCAAAACGGTTTATATTACCTTCAAATCAACCGATACCGATGCAAGAAATGTGAACGTTTTTATTTTTCTCTCTTGTTTTTCTCTCTTGACAGATACCATAGTAAACATAAACAATGTCGTCACAGCTAGTTAGCTGGGGAAAACCAATGTCTATTTTTAGATATTTTTATATTTTCGGTCATGAGTTTCTCGTATACGGTGGGTGGGAAGTCCCGAACTCACACACAACTAGGAAATCGGGGACAAGATCAAGAGAAAGAAGAGTCAAATCGAGCTAAAAATTCAACATTATCGCCAACAAAATCACCAGGAACTGCTCGACCAGGAGGTAAGCGCAACTTGACGGGAGTACAGCCCGGTAGTAATCGTAGGGTTGGAGCAAAATCTAGACCACAGCGAGCAGCAGGTACATCAATCGGCGCTCAACAAACTTCCACCATTGTCACGCTTTCAGATTTAAAGAATCAACAAAGTAAACATCAGAGTAGTGTGAATTTAAAACCAGCCAATAGCAAAAACAATGCAGCAATAAATCTACCTCAGCATTCACATGATTCAGGTCCTGGAAGAAAATTAGGAGGGCATATTATTTCTGACTCGAAACTGTCTGCTGTTAGAATAGGAGTTGGTGTCAGAAACCAACCAATCTCTCCAAATAGACCTGTCAAATCTGGAAATTCAGAGCATCTTCATAGCAGAACTAGTGCCTCAAACTCAAATTCAAATCACACACCTGCTGCACCAACTGCAGATCTCTCAACTAGAGGAAGCCAGACGAAGAAGAAAACACCCAATGTGAACAGAACTTCAAATAAATTGATAGACCAGACATTAAATAGCAATAAAACTTCTTCAACTTCAAGTCAACGATCGCCAGGTAGGGGAAGAGGTTCAAGAGGCAGAGGTTCACCAAGAGGCGGCATGGCATACAACACAACAACAACAGATACAGCAGTAGCTTATACTCTGCCAACCCTCGTCAAGTTGGACAAAGACCTCCAGATGAAGAGGGAGAAGATACTCGTCAACGACAGGGAGAACCTGGACCATCGCAGGGAAGCCCACAACAGCCGCAGCAGCAGCCACAGGGGGAAAGGTTAGGGATAGTACATGTATCTGTAGCAATATGCTTAAAGGGCAAGTCCACTCCAAAAATAACTTACTTTTGATAGAAGCAGAACAATCAGACAAACCAATCAAAACAGATTGAGCAAAAACATTGGATAACTAATAAGAAAGTTATGAATTTTTTATGACATGAAAAACTTTGAAAATCACAATACAAATTGGCAACTCACTCATGAGTCTGTGACGTCATTGTCTCACTATCCACTAGATCTAATTGTTTCATTTATATTGATATATACACTTCCAATTTTCTCCCTAAAAATCTTATTTCTTCACACCAAGCATCCAAGTTATATTGACAGTAAATTTGTAGGAATATGTTTTTGTGTGAATACATTTTAATATATTGAGTAATTTTTTTCAATTAAATCATAAAAAAATGTGAATTTTGATAAACTAGATCTATTTAATATAAAAATCAATGATTCTGAATATACGATATTCAGAAAAAAGTATCAATTCTTCGAAGTTCATAAAACATTTTATATCTGTTGTGTCATGCTTAAGCTGTTTGGCCTCGAAGGGCATTTCCCAGCATAGGTTTCTCCCGAGGTATTATGGGCTCGGTATGTAACAGGTTAACCTGTTTTGCTGGGCTCTTGAAGAATATCAAAATACTAAGCCAGTATCAGATATGTAAGGCCATTACAAAAAATATACATGTTTAGCATCCCCGCCCGCTTCCTTTTTGGGGCCGCCTCCTATTTTTTTTTTTTTTTTTTTTTTAAAGAAAAAAGAACATGAAAACACTGCTAAAATAGGTCTATTTCTGATTTAAAAAAAAAAATGTCAGCGGCCATCTTGAAAAATAGCCCGACTGTCGGGGAAAATGTACCAAGCGGCCATTTTGAAAGAAAAAAAAAAGGGCCTCCTCCTTCCTATTTTTCAAAAAAACAGGACGCTAAACATGTTTTTTATTTTATTTGGCCTAATGTAACGAAGAAAGACAATAGTGATTTTAAGAAACCTGTTCTTCAGACCTTATTTATTACCAATCTGTCCAGAATTGATAAAAAGGGAGGAAGCCATTGTAATGTTGGTTTTAGTCTTGTTGTTTTTCTATTTATATTTTTTTAAATCTTTGTTTCCTAAGGAACAACATTTGATTCCTTCTTTTCTTCTCCTCATGGAAAAGTCATTTTAAATTCATTCATGAAGTATTATCTACAACTTGTTTTTCATTTATAGCCCTGGAGCTTTTAGAGTGATTCAACCAAATGCTTCTAAGAGGCAACAGCTGGTAACTAGTAAGTCTCTATAGATTCAAATATTGTTTTCAACTTTTCAAGTTGAGTAGAGATATCTGTATAAGAGGATGTGAAAAAGAGAGAGAGAGGGGGGGGGGTGGTAGAGAGGGGAAGAATGCTCAAGAAAGAAATTAAGGATTGTGATTTTGAAACAAAAAGTAATTGATATTGGCGATACTGGCTATATTCTATAAAAGGGAATAAAAATTTATCCAAAAATACTATTTACAGGTTTAATACTCGATACAAAATCAAATCATGATTTCTCTTTATCAAAATCTCTTGTAAGAGGTGCATTCACATCCTAATAATTTGATCTTTGAACTTTTGAAGAGCATTTTTGATTAAACTATCTTCTTATTTTATCTCACATTCTTTTTCCTTCATCTTTCCCCTCGCTCTGACCTTTTTTCTTTCTTCATGCAATTGGGAAGCATGTGCCCCCCCCCCCCCTCCATAGCTAAGTCACTAAATAATACTTTTGATATTTGAAAAACGTTTACAATTTTAAATGGGAATAATTTTGAAATGGTATGTATGCAGTTGGTAGTTTTGGTAGTAAAATTGTCTTGTGTTGTGACCAGGGCAGGGCGTGGGGGTAGGGGTGATGAAATTTCATAATGTTAAAATTCCTAGCTATGGAATGAAAGGGAGGAGTATGATTTATTCTCAAGAGTGCTAATGTGTGAAAATTGTCATTTGGATTTGTTTTCTTGTTTTCATATTAAATACACTTTGGGAGAAATCCTAGACTTATGGTTTAATATCTGTTTTTTTCAATGTTTTTTTTTAAACCAGAATCTTCACAAGAGATGAAGGCTCTTGAAGATTATAGAGCTTCCAAGAAACCAACTACTATACGCGGAGAAGCTCGTTGTGCAGGTAGGCCTACATTTCACATCATCCACAAGTACATCCTGTAGAGTTTAATCTGTAATTTCACCTTTTTAAAAATAAATTGCATGAAGAGAAAAATGTATGCAATACTTTTCTACATGTATGTACATGTAGCAACAGTAGCATCGTATTCACATTTTAAAAGTGTTAATCTCCTTCTTTTTATTTTCCCTTTTTTTTTAACCAGGTGGAAGTAAGTCTGAAGAGGAGGCTAGGCTGGATCTAGACAAGCAGCATCGAAACAAGAAATATGAACAGATCGTAAGAAAATTTGATTTATATTCCGTGGTCTTGGTTTATATCTGATGTTATCGCTGTAATTTTGAGTGTTAGTAACAAGATTACATTTCAATTAGAGAGTAATAAACAATTACTCTCAAGAGATTCTTCTATCACCCTTAATATACACATCGTTTGTGCATCTGCTGAAGCCACCAAGTCTGGCCAGGCTACTATTAACCCCTCCCTTCAGTTGGGGTCAGTCTTTTTTTCCTTGTCGATCGATTTAGACCCCGTTCTCACTCACTTTGAAAGTGGTCTTAGTTAGACCGCTCCAGACCGCTCCAGAGGAACGGGTCTTGAGGAACGGTTTGCGAGCGTACACACTCCGAGCAGTTTTTATGGCTCAAACCGCTCCACGAGTCAAAGTGGTCTTGTTGCTATGGCAGCTCAGGTAGGCGGGTCAATTTTTTCACGCGCGGAATCCAAACCGTATGTACCGTACTACATGTTTCGCCCCGAAGGTCACTAGCTCACTTCCGTTCAAAGTACGCTTTCCGTTCACGTTGCACGTTAGAGCGCTCTGGAGCGCTCTTAATAAGACCCGCTCCTCAAGACCACCTCGGAAGGTGGACTTCTGGAGCGGTCCAGAAGTCCGCTTCCTGGACCACTTTGAGCGTTCTCACTCACCTACGAACCGCTCCTGAGGAGCGGGTCTTAGTTAGAGCGCTCCAGAGCGCTCCAACGAAGTGAGTGAGAACGGGGTCTAAGATATGATACCCGAACGAGGGTAAAGGGAGTGCTCCTCTACCTCCACTTAATAAAATTGTGAGGAGAGAGTACTATATATGTAGTGGCAGTGGGCAAAACAACTTTAATATTCTTCTTTAATACACAGCATACATGTAGCACACTTTCATTGACAGGAGAGAAAATTCATGTTTCTGAAAGACAGACTATGATGAATAATTCATTAAAGATACTTGTAGGTCTTCTGGTTAGTTGTTGCAAAATCAGGTTTAGTTACCGGTAGGTAAAGTCTTTGGTCCAGGGCACTGGGCGTCGCTAGACCTTTATCAGTTGGGAGATAGGGGGGGGGGGGGGGCTGTAGAGGCCACTGTATTACCAAAAAAACTAGCCACCAATTTCTGACAAATAAATAAATGCCAAAGTCTACAAATTTAACCCTATAAACCCGGGGCCTGAGCCTAATTTTTATACAAAATATCTATAGCTGTGCATGTGCATTTGGTCATTTTCCTTGACCTCATAAATATATGGTATATTTCGTCAAGACAAGTCAGCATCGTAGCTATATATAATTAAATCTTCCAACCATGTGGTTTTATTAATGTTCTTTTTTTTCCCCAAACAGCTGAAGAAAGAACAACGGAATAGAGAAAAGAGGGAAAGAGAAGATAAGGAGTTTCAAGAAAAGAAAGCTAAAGCTAGACAAACGGTAAGAATTATCAGTTGATCTAGTTTGTTTTTCTATCAAATCCTTGGGCAAAAATCATTTATTTGTATTTGTTCACATTCGGTAAATAGTTTTAAAGGTCATTTACAGTTTTGAGGATCGAGCTAAAAGAAAATTGGAAAGAAACATCATGTTAAATATATGTTGTTCTTCTTGTAATTGCTTGTATAAAGAAAAATATACCTATGAGATCATTTAGCATTCTGATCCATGAGATCTGGTGAATTGTAGTGTAAATATCTGTAAGGAATGCTGGATAACAGCTATGCTAGGACCCTTCTACTTACAAAGACTAAGATCGACTTTAAGTTGGACTTAACTATGGCAGGCCATTCATGCCACTGGTTGCTCTCTTCAGATCTTCAGATAATATTTTTTCCTTCATTAATGAATTATCAAAAATTTGAATTCTGTAGATTTGTGACCGTGATTGTAGGTCCCTTGAGAGACCAATGTCAGTAAATGGTGAGAGCAAACAGTGGCATGAACGGCCTGCCATAGTTGAATCAAAGTTAAAGTCGATCTTAGTCTTTGTGAAGACCGGATGGGTATCTGCATTATTTTCTACCTTTCATTTGTTTGATAAATAAAATCACTTGAGGAGGAAAAAATACTTTGTAGCAGTTCCGTATTATCACTGTCTTCCTATTCATCATCTAAAATAAGAGAAAGCTGACAAAATGATTGGGGGGGGGGGGGGGGGGCTTACCAAAACTTTACATGACCTTTAAATTACGAAGATTGACATTAAATCTTTTCTTCCTTTTTTCAGGCTGAAGAAAACGCAAGAAGAAGAAATGCGAGAGAAGTTAACTTCTTAAGAGATGAACATGCCACGTGAGTTGCTCTCCACCCCCTCCCTCCCCCTCTTCCTCTTTGTGGAAAACAAAACACAAAAAGTGGTCTTTGTAGACAGGTTCCTTTAGTACATGTTTCAATGAGAAACCATTTTCAAGGGAAACGAAAAATGTGGTCTCTGTAGACAGGTGGTCACTAAAGCAGGTTTGACTGTAAATGCCTCAAGTTTTTGTTTTTCATACCTTACGCATTGTCTGACCCCAAGCAAAGAAACTTTTGACCGTTGGTTATTACATGGTGTGACAAATATTTGTGCTTTATGGAACCAGTGCCTCAATCTCAAAACTAAACCACACAAATAATGTGAACAGAACTTCACATATATTATTGGTTTGCTTTTGTAGAGTTTGGACGAATTGATACGTTTGTTGGAAACTATTTCACTTTGGGGAAATGTATATTCCCGAGTTCAAATATTTCATTTGGAGAAAAGAGAAAATGCTTTACATTCTGTGACTTCAATGCTTCCAAACTGTACAGAGAAGAACAGATGCATGATATAAATCTTTAGTTTTCATGTTTCCCTCCAAATTGCCAATTGCCAATTGGTATTGAATTGGGATTCAATGGGGGCATTCAATGGGGATTATGATCTTCTCATGTGATGGAGAAGAGCACATTACAAGATTCAATTTTTTGTATTTGTATTAAAAAAATATATATATTTCACTTTTCTTCAATTAATAATTTTGATTAAATAATAAGAAGCCAAAATCACAAATACTGAAGATGTCTTCTCCTGAAGCAATTAGGGGAGGAGCTACACTGTACAAGGTATTCAGTTCTATTTCTCATTTGTTAGAGTTGGAGGACATATTGTTGGTTTGTTTTTATTTTTTCAATCTTATTTTCTTCATATCACATTTTGTTTTTTGTAGAACTAATGAGAAATTCCTAAGAAGGCTTGATGCAGGGAGGACACCTCCACAGAGTAAGTTACTACTACAATATTAATAACGATGATAATAATAATACCAGTGTTTTATAAAGCGCTTTATCATTAATCGATCAAAGCGCATACAGCATTAGTATTACCCCGGATTCAATTAATATTAGGGTTTGGGTTGCAATACTGGGTTTTAGGTTAGGTTAAAGGTTAGGGCTAGGTGTAGTGTTAGTATCTTTTTATAACCCCAAATTTATACTGATTATATACTTCAACTTTATATTAACACATCGATTGCTCTCGATCTTTGCCTCTCTTCACGGTTGCTCGTTTGCCATGCATGCAATTTGGCACAAAACAATAGGCAACAAATCACCAATAGACAGAAGGATTGATTTATGCAGCACAATGGCTCTGCAAACTTACCCCTTTCTGGTCCTGACTAGCTAAATGACAACCCATTTAACACCTGTTTTAGATTAATCTTGCACTGGGAACAGTTAAATAAACTTGAAGGCTTTGGTATACCTATCACATGATTAACACACAGTAAGCTTAAGGTTCAAATTTTCACTTTAAATTGTAATATAGATGCAGTTTATGATTATATTGCAATCAATGTATATATTGTTCCGTTTCCATTGTAACAATCATTTTCAGAACGTTATTATGCTTGTGACGATGTACATCTGCTATTATTGTATTTATGTATTTCTTCTTGTGATATGTACATGTACAATCACTGTAAAACCAGTGAAAAAAAAATTCCTGAAAGGGACAATAAATGGCAATTCAATTCAATGATGAACAATGTGGCACATGGAGGATTATTTGTGTAGCATATAAAGAGTTATTCTTTATACTTACATCTGTCCCGCTAGGTGAAACATCCGTCTCACAAAGTTCAAAACTCCAGCAGCTGCGGGAGATGTTCCCTGATAAGAAACCTTCCAAGCTGCAAAAACTTCTTGACGACAACAATAACGATGTGGCGGAGGTTGCCGATCTACTCATGGATTGAAGATGACCTAAGATGATGAACGCCCGTATTGTGCCTCTTCCAGAAGATTGAAAGTGAGAAACGTTCCTGATATATAAAGAAAATGGCTACAGCCAATGACACTGGCAATGTCAGTCTCTTGGTCCTTCTGAAAAGTTATCTGAGCCCCAGGAAACCATTATGTCAGTTTCCTAGTCCTTCTGACAATTTTTCAGAGGGTTCATAAGACAAAGGCCACCCAAGGGTAACAGGAACACTGGCCACTGTGTGAAGGTGGCCTTTCTTGACAGGTCCTACAGCACCTGTTTCTTCCTAGAGGGAATGGCTGTTATAGACAGTTTGCTTTATAGAGAGGTGGCCTTTAACACTGGTTTGACTGTATTTTGTTGCTTACCTTTCATTGCGTTCATGACTCTGCTCCTCAATACCTTATCTCTCTAATCCAAAACTACACTCCTGCAAGACCTCTACGCTCATCCACTTCCAATTTTCTTGTGACCCCCAAAATTACCAAAACGTGGGGGGAAAGATCATTTGCATACTCTAGTCCTAAATTATGGAATGGCCTTCCTGAAGACATCAAAAAATGTTTATCTTCTGATTCTTTCAAAACTCATCTCAAAACATTCCTTTTCAAGTCTTGGATCGTTTTTCCTGTTTACACGCGCCTTGAGCACTCCACAGAGTGGATTTGGCGCGATATAAGTTACATTATTGTTATTAATATTATTATTATTATATACAGTGTATGTGTATTCAGACAACGACAATCTTGTCTCATTATAGATGGTGTTCAGATTTCTTTCTTTCTGTACTTTTCTTGATAGCCTTGATTCATTATTAGTTACCAACTAAATTAGTCATACCCTTACCAAGTTCTGTAATTTTTAAAGTATGTGATAAAGTGATTTTACCGATTTATGTTTCTTGATAATCTAAAAGTATTTAACAATCGCCCTAATTCGACCAGTCCACTTTCATTCTTGAGTTACGAAAATCACAAAAACATGAAATTTACAAGGGGTATGAATAATTTAGATGTTAACTGTATGTACATGTAGTTACAAAATGCCTTGGAAAATATTTTGCACATTACCTCCAGCAACTATTGCACAGTACATACATGGAATAAATCCTACCAGGTAACCACTTTCTTCACCTGGGTTGAGAGTGGCAAATGTACATACTTTGGGGAGTGTTTCACAAAGATCCTAAGTCGCACTTACCGGTAACTCTAAGTTGGACTTAAACATTATGGAGAGCCATTTGTAGCCTGAAAATGAAATATATTAAAAAGCAAAATTTTCAGTACTTTAGACTTTTCATATATTCCAAATCAAGAACATGAAATCTCCTTGATAATAAAAAAATATGAATGATTTAAATCAACATTTTATGCTTTTTAAAGGCACACTGTCCTACTTGTAGCTACTTGCTCCCTCTATATAGAAAACTTCCCAAATTGGTGCCTGTTGGCCCCCCATGATCCTCTTTTTCTTATGTTAAATGAGAGCTGAGTTAATGAGATAGCCACCTGTCAGTGACCTCATTGGCTCGCTTTGTGGTCTAATCCCTTCTAGATGCAGTAGTAATGCCTACCTTTAAAATAACTTTTACAAAATATTTTCAAAGATGCTAACAGCTCTCTAAAATTGTTAGTCAAAGTTAGAGATAAGTTCAAATTAGGATCTCGGTTCTTTCAAGTTGGCCTGAATGAATTTTAAATAAATTTGAAATATGGGAGGTTTAGTAAGTACATTTTATAACAACAAGGTTTCACAAAAAATATCTGTGATCTGTTCAAGAAGAATTGAGAAGTGTGTCTCATACTTTTTCTTCAGTCTTCAGTCTATGTTGTCCACGTACTGAAAAGCAGCTGGTATTTTGCCACTCCAAATTTTATGAACCACTTCCTACTTGCATCTCCTTGTCATTGTAGCCCCTTTGAAACTATTTAATAATTGTTGTGTAATTATTATTGTTATTGATGTCTATGCTTAGTTGCTTTCTTGTCCTTTATAAAAACCATAATCATGATATGTAAATCTTGGTCTTTAGGGGCTGGGTTTGTCATTGACTGACAATAGGCCCGTTCACACATAACAATAAATGCGATTTGGATTGCGATGCAAAGATCAATTAATTTTTTGCGACCGTTCACACATGTCAATTTAGTGCGAATTGGATCGCGATGCAATGATCGATTTTTGGGGCGACCATTCACACACAGAGAATTCTTGCTCGACAAATCGTGAAGATTAGTGAAATTATTCTGTCCACACAATAAAAGAAAAAGATTTTTGGATGGCGATGCAAAAATTGATTTTTAAATATCACTTTTTTCAAGAGGTGTGAACGCCCCTATTATATTTGTACTCGGGACTTTTGAATGAACTGAAAACAATGTAAATCACTGCATATATTAGTTTCTATACTCTTAAGAAAACTATTGAATCCTCTTTACCTGTACAGTATTTGTAAAATCTTGTAAATCGCACCAAACTAACTGTATTCTACGCAATTTATTGATTTTTGTTGTTGTTGATATTTCAGTACGGTACTTCGAAAGATTCTGAAAAAGAGATTCTGATTCACATTGTACGTTGTCTGTATTCTAAGCAAACTATTGATTTTTTTTCTAATGTCATTACGTCATAAAATCTGAAAAAAATGTACATGTATTTGTATTTCAAAAGATTTGAAAATAACTTTACTCATGGCATGTGCTATTTGTCTTCTAACTACCGGTAAGCAACGTACTGATTTTTTTTTAGATTTCTCAGTACTTCAAAAGATCTGAAAATAATGCAAATCACATCATTCGTTATCTGTATTTCAAGCAAACTATTGTTTTTATTTTTTTATTTTTATGGATTTCAGTACTTCAAAAGAATTGAAAACAGTAAGTCTCTGGATATGTTGTTTGTACTCCCAGCAAAGTATTGAATCCTGTTGACACATAGAGATGTAGATGTACATGATGATGTATTTGTACTTCAACAAATTTGAAAATAACATAACTCACGGCATGTGATATTTGTATTGTAAGCATAGTACTGATTTCCTTTTGTAGATTTCTGAGTGCTTCAAAAGATTCTGAAAAAAATGTAAATCACATCATTTGTTATCTGTATTCCAAGCAAACTATTGATTGCTTTTTTAAAAATATTTTATTACTTTAAAAAGAACTGAAAAGTCAAAAACATATGCTATTTGTTTCTTAGAAAATGATTGACTCCTTTTTAGATATCTCTCATACATGTCGTATAATGTTTATGTAGCTTGAATTAATTTTGAAAAGGTATAGCTTCACAGGATAAAGGGTCAGCTAACCAGGACCCATATTCATAAAACCTAACTAAGCCTATCTGTTGTCAACTAACTACAATATGTACCAGTACTAAAGCCTATTTAACTAGTTGACAACTAGCTTAGTAATTGGTTTTGTGAACATGGGTGCTGGTGACATAACTATAGCAGAATGTGAATTTGAATTTGAATTTGAATTTATTAACAACAACACATCACAATAATGACAGTACATATGAACAATCATACAATGCAAAAAATTATACTGATACATGTATACATAACATAAGAGTAATGTCGATTGAACAGTAATGTCGATTGAACAGTAATGGTTTTAAAACGATATTTTTTAGACATACATCTGCATACTATTAAATGTACAAAAGATATATTCGTAAATACGTATATTACTATGTTTAGGTGAAGTTGTTAATGGGAACTAGAAGTTAGCACAAGTGCTAGTCGAGCCTAATTCCATTCTTTAGCAAGATTTTTTTCTGTTAATTTGTTTTAACATATGAATGTAAAACTTGTTTGTTTTGTATTTACATATATACAACAAAATAATTACAATATCATGTAACTTTTTTTCTTTACTAAAATGAAAAAATAAAAATAAAAAAGCTTAAGCGTTAAAGCATTATAATGAAATACGACAAATCTTTGAAGAAATAAAATCATCAATGTGTTCATAAGAAATGAAAAGGATGTATTAATAAAAATAATCATACACATGTATGTACATGCACAAATCCTGTAAAAGCTTAAGGCCGCTATAATCGTTAACAAGGAAGTGTATACATATAGAAAAGGAAGACAAGTAATATAAAAGGAAATAAACGAAGGGGATGGGATTGAGCCCACGTCATTTACATAGAAGGTAGGTGGAAAGATGTCTCCGAAAAGATAACCTTGATGTTTTTAATCTAATTTCATCTGGCAGATCATTCCACAGCTTTGTTCCTACAAACGAAATACAAAATTGCCCTTGTGTTGTCTTACATTTTGGTTGATAAAGTAGGCCACTTTCTTTTCTCCTAGTTGCATATCTGTGCTGTATCATCTGACAATAATCCACTAAAGAGTGTGGTAAAAAAACCTTTTACCAAATCGTACATAAATGTTGATACAAGAAGTTCATGAAGTTGAAAAATATTTAAAATGTTTAGACTTTGAAAAAGAGCTTTGGAGTCTGTTCTAAGTGGACTGAATGTAATTGCTCTCATTGCCATTTTTTGACTTGAATATATACAATTTAGATTACTTTTGTAAGTGCTCCCCCATACTTCTACTCCATAAGAGAGGTGAGGCTGTATAAAAGCCTTATATAATAACACAAGTATATTCTTGGGAACAAAATGTCTCAGTTTAAACAGAATACCTACTTTCTTTCTTATGCATTTGTTTATTGTCTGAATATGTTCTTTCCATGAAAGGTGACAATCAATTTCAATTCCTACAAATGATGCAACAGATACCTCTTTAATATCTGATCTATATTCTCACAGATCCCTTTTTTTCTATTGATCTACCATTGGATTTCATAATCATATAGTTTGTTTTCTGTAGGTTAATTGTGACTTCATTTGCATTACACCATTCCTGCACGGCCTTCATTCAATTTTCACTTACAATTTCTAAATCAATGTAATCAATGTAATCAATGTAATCAATGTAATTTGTTTATGTTATTTCTCTCATATGATAAAAACTGTTTGTAAATAATTATAGTCTCTTGCCTGTCATACCTCGGTCGACTGCCAAATCAACTCCAAATCGACTGATTCTTGTTCATTCAACATCATCCTAAGAATTCATGTTCGGGTTGTTGCCGATCTGGACCCTGTTTCATAAAACTTGTTATCAATAACAAATGCCAAAATTTGATGACTAATTAGCTCTCAGCCAATCAGATGCCTCTATATCAGTAGCTTAT